GAAAAAATGGCGAATCCGAGGAGAGTTTCATATTCGAATTCCAATCAACTCCCAATTTCAGACCCCATTAATCCGTTCCAGTCGCAAACCCCACAAACTGCAGCATCCCTGTTAAATTCACTGAAATTATTCCTCAAAAAACCGCACGCAGTTCCATTTCTACTCTCTTTTTTCCTTTTTCTTACATGGGTTGCCCTTAGATTCCAACACTATTCTTCCGATTCTTCATTTCGCCAACCGTCGTATGATAGCAATAGGGTGGCTTCACATGGCGGTTATGATAAATATTCTGATGCTAATACAGTGAAACTCCCTTTGTCTTCTTCAATTGTAATGAAGGATAAGCGTGGATGGTTGATTAATCCTGTTTCACTTGCCTTGGATGCTGCCATTTCAGGTTTTTTTTTTTTTTGGTCTATTTTTATTTTTCTGTCAAGAAAGTTATAATTTATAAATACCCACCCAACGTTATTTGTTCGTAAAATTATTCAAGAAGGGGAGAAAAAAGCTGGAAAGCTTATTATTTGAGCTTGGTGCAACTTTTAGTGAGTAGTGCACAACACTGTGATGCTGCACTAGTTTTTTGGTGGAGAAAGGTTGTGAATTTATTTATTTCTGCCCCCATGTATTTTCAATTATTTTGTAAGTTGACACGGCCGACCGAGTTTGCGATTTCTCTCTCCTGCCAATAAATGTAAACCTGTTCATGCTTAGGTACAAGTATTTGTTTTTGGTAATTCTATAATTGATAATGATGGAGAAAAGAAAGGAAAATGACTGTAAAAGGATTAATGTGAGAGAAAGGTGTGTTGAGAAGGCATAAGGTTTAGGAATCCGAGACTCTATTTTCTCGTTGTAAGGTACAACAATAGGTACTTGGCACATGATATATGAGGGGCTTAACAGTTAAATAATTTTCTTTGCTGAATTGCCGTGATAAAAGATTTGTACTTTTGTTATACATTTTGGCAAATGAGTATTTTTTTTTTTTAATGAGCGGTTGAATGAGGAAAATGAAAGGAGAATTTAATGCGGATGAATCAGTAAGCACTTTAACATCCATTTTTTATCCTGTAACTCTTATTGATCTTGAATCATATGTTGTGGTTTTAAATGTGAACTATAAATCTGATTTCTTGGGTATTGTATGGATAAATAACTAGGAAACTCTACTCCTTTTGCCGGGATATATGGAGAAAGAAACAGAAAGATTGTGCCTGCACGCATTTTACGTAATGATAAGGTGATATATAGTCAGTGAGTTTTTAAAACAATTATATTTACATGCGATAGAAATTAAAAATATATAACTGGCTATAGATTCAAGAATATGGTGTACTGAAAGTCTGAAACTAAGCTGTCTTTCGAATCTAATTTAGCCCCTCCAATACTAGCATACGACATAAGAACCTCTCACAGGGATCACGGGATATTAGTTCATTGGATCTGTTGCTGCACAAGCACTAGAAGGGGACGTAAGGAGGATTATGGGCATTTGCCACCCTTTTAAATGATATATGTGATTTTTATTTAATTATTATATTTTGCAACTAAAGTTTTCTATGTTCTTAAGCATCTCTGTTTTGGAGTGATTTTCACCAAAGTGATTTGTCACATTACAGGAGGAGCAAGCTTCTGTGCTTCAGTTCATTTGGGGGAGATCCGTCCTGGAGGCATGAGGGGAAATCATAGGCACCACAACTGCAATGAGACATTTGTTATTTGGGGAGCAAAGACATTGTTCAGGGTATGTATTTCCTTTAATTACAGAGGTAGAATTGGACTATCCTGACTATCTATTGAAATCCTTGGCCATATTTGGTTTACTAATACTATAAAATGTATAAACTTAAAAAGAATTGTTACCTTCGAGCTACTTCAAAAATTTTCTGGATTAAAACTTATTTTAACTCAAATAACGGAACAGTGTCTTTCTACAATTCTTCCAAAGTTTGAGGAAGGAGAAAGCAAAGGAAACTTTGTTGCTTGATAGCACCTGCTATTTTGATATTAGAGTTCAATGGGTTATTGAACATTATAGGGATTATGGAACAAAAATCAATATGAATACTGTTTTATTCTTGGCCCCCGTTTGGTCGCCATTTTTTTGGGAAAAATATTGTTTTAAATAGTGAATTTTTTGAGAATGTGTGGTTCAAAGTAGGAAAAAGTTTTGGATTTACATGTAGAATATTTTATTTTGTGCATGTGTGGTTGAAAATGAGTATGTAGAAAAAAAGTTTTGAAAGTGGCTTATTATTTTCGTGCATTGTAGTTCATATGTTTTATTAGATTAAGATCTATGCCACTCAATATTTTCTAACTAATTTACCTTTCCGTGAGGGTTGACTTGATATATCTCTTGTAATCTGAGTTGAAAATCATCGTGAAATTCTGATGAAGCAGAATAGTAGCAGGAGGTGTTTATCAGCTCTTTTGGCATTGAGTTGAGGAATGACATGAGTTTGAAGATTGGTTTGGGTGTAAGTTTTAGATTTTGCTCAACAAAAGCTCGGATACGCTTTGCTTGAATAATAAACAAATCAATCCTGAGGCACCTTTAAGCTCTACTTTTTTTTTATCACCATCGACCAGAGTTATGATAAGAAACCAACATTGTGTTCCATTGTTGAAGAAATAATAAAGCATGCATCCATTATGTGTAGTTTATACCCTTTCAGTTCTAATTTTAGATGTAATCTAAATTTAAACAAAACGGGAGACTTTGGAAGTATTTTAATGCAAAATATCCTGTTCACGATTTATATTCATCTCTACAATCATGATTCATGGTTGGCAGCTGGAAAATAAAGCAGTTGCGAAAGGATATGCAGAGGTAACCATTGGTGCTGATGAAGTTGCCGTTGCAGCCAGTTCCAGTGGAACGGCTCATGCTTTAGTAAATGCAGATGCTGTACGGAGCACATTTTTCTTGGGATGCCAGGACAGTATCATAAATTACAGTAACTCAACTTCCGATTTTAGAGTATGGAAAGATTTATAACTTAATTTTGGTGTCCTCTAGCACTAGTTTTACCGTTTCGGTTATGGAGGGTCGCTTTGTATGCAGTTGTTTCTTTGGCTAGCAATTTAGAATACTCGGGAATTGTGGATAAGGTGAAGCCATGTACAGAATGCTTTTATGGCTCTAGTTTATCTGTCAATATACATCTGTTTAGGTTGCTGATTTCGTTGTGAAATTATTAGTATAGCTTTGTTATGGCTATGAAACTATAGTAATGGTCTTAAGGATCCGATCTTTTAGATGAGATGTTTCAACACGATGAGCTGAACTAGATGGATGAAATGAGAAGTGATTTTTACGATTATGCTCAACAGCCTACTTGAGCAATTTCATATTCAAATCTCACTGTCTTCCACTTATTAGTAAATTTACTCGTCCGTGAACATTTGTGAATGGATAATTCTTTGAAACAAGTTGTTTGTTTTGGGAGTAAGGAAAGATTATTTTAAAAAGTAAAAAGAAGTTACTTTTTTAATTGAACAAAAGAAAATAATTAGTTGCCGGAACATGTTGAGCTAAAGCTAAATAAAGTAAAAGCTTAAGCAAACATGTATTGCAAAAGTAAGCAACTTAAAAAATAATTTTTACGTTTCAAAATGCATTTGATTAATTTCAAAAGTTACTTCTCAAAGTTCTTTTATCCTTTTTTAGGATTAGTTAAACATACTTTCAGCTCTGTTGTGATAAATGAATTTGCTCCGTAGGGATTATACGTGTAGAAAACAAATTCAACTATTTGAATAAAGAAACTTGTCTTTATAACAAAATAAGTCCTTGTTTGAGTCATATTATTGGGATGAAAATACATTTTTAAATAGTATATTGATAGAAAATGTGTAGTTAAAGAATTAAAAAGATTTGGATTTGCGTGTAATATTATTTTATTAAAGAATGTTTGGTTGAAATGATGTGAAATCACTATTGAAGAATGTATTTTTTTTTTTCAAATAATGTGGCTCAAACAAGGCCTAAGTTCATTTATGGTTTGGATAAAAATTAGGCTTTTAATAAATTTTGATAAAAGTTGTTGATCCCATAAAATGCGTTCTTACACCTAAGTTCGAAAAAATTGAGTTTTAAGAAAAATAAGGGTCAAATAGGGCTACAGCTTTGAAACCCAAGAATTCGACGTCTATGACTTAGTATGTGAGAACAAGAATTCTAGTCGTGCTGGACAAATTAAGTCCCTAGGGTCCTTATTTTCTAAAATTTATTTTTTCTCAAATTCATTTTTAACCACGCATTTCATGAAATCTATAATTTTAATCAACTTTTTAATTATTTATTTCATCAAATTTTATCAAAATCTACTAAATATATGATTTTAGGCTAAATCAGAAACAGGCTAAATTAACCAGTGCTTAATGGACTGTGGTTTGCAATTGCCTTGTATTTCTACAGACACTCGTACCTTTAAAGGAATACCTATTACTTGAACGCCTCTCAATTTCTTCGCTCAAAGCAACAACTACTACTGCATTAATTGCATAATTTGGTAACAGTAACACCATGGGATTGAACTATTATTAAGAATAAAGAAAAGACTAAAATTTATTGTCAAGAAATATGAAGAACTTTAATGAAATTTGAAGTTGAGAATTAGAATTAGAATTAGAATTATTACATATTCATAATTGTTTGGTTTTTCTTAGAGTTTTAATTCTGACTCCTTGATCTTCTGTGGGTATTGCTGGTACTTTTCACGTATAATAGTTGGATAGTCGACAATATTGAACATGATTATGAAAGAAAATTACATTATAACTTATCCGTTGGACTTTATAGTACAATCCAATATAGTATGTCAAGATTATAATCAAGAATTCACGATTTTCTTTAATGGGAACACTGCTATCTTTCTTTTATTAGAGCCACATTTTTTGTTCTTTAAGTTCTGATAAACATCCTGTTTATTAAGATAGACAAGTGCAATATCTTGAAAGCAAAGACATGTTTCAACAGCTAAGAAAATACATAACTTGAAGCAAATCTATTCTCCCAAATTTATTGTAGAAAGAATGACAAATGAAACATCATATTATAGAACCCTATTGATTATATATACAAGTATACACATATATATCACTCAAAATCCAATCACAGACCACTTGTTCGTCAAGAAGGAAAATCTAATCCCTACTGGTTAATGGAGAAAGGAAAGAAATTAGCAGTTCTAGTGGGATGCAATTATCCAAACACCCCAAATGAGTTGCATGGATGCCATAACGATGTTCGAGCGAGTCTAGATGTGCTTGTAAGACGGTTCGGATTTGACCTGGCCAACGTTCAACTTTTGACAGATGAAGATGGAAGTTCAGTGATGCCTACTGGTGCCAACATCATGAAGGCATTGGATCAAATGGTGGATAAAGCCGAGCCCGGTGATATCCTATTCTTCCAATATTCGGGCCATGGAACATTGATAAATTCGAGCAATTCTTTCAAAAAAGAGGAAGCCATTGTTCCTTGTGATTTCAATCTTATAACTAGTAAGTTCTGCATTTCTTTATGATCGAGAAACTGAGAGTTGTTGAGCCCGAATTTGATGCCACCTCTAGCAACCATAAAAAGTTAAGAACATGCATAGTGGGGGGAGATATTATTTTACGCCTAACTATTTTCCACAAAATGAATGTGTATGGTGGAAGTTTTTGTCTATCGTTGACCTTTATCATGAAATCAGTGGAAGGTCAACGTAAAACAATCTTTTAACATTCTTCTTTTTAATAATCTCTAGTGCTTTACAATCTACTTACCGAACAAGTACTAAAGAAAATCGACACAAGGTTTCTACTTATTTCTCTCGAAGGCTAACTTTTTTAAGAATTCAATTTTGTAGGTGAGGACTTTAGGCATCTAGTAAATCGCCTGCCGAAAGGGACAAGTTTCATAATCCTATCTGATTCTTGTCACAGCGGGGGTTTGATTGACAAAGAAAAAGAGCAAATCGGGCCTTCAAGAAGCTCGAATACTGAAGCCGATATTCCCACCATGCAAAAGCCTAAGTTCATACCATTTCAATCAATAATCCAACATCTATCATCCTTAACAAACATAAACACACCAGACATTGGCACACACTTGCTGGAGATTTTTGGACCGGTTGCTAGCCTTATGTTTCGACTGCCTCGACCCAACCCTGACCTCGAGCCTGACTTCAGCACCAAGCCAGTAAAGCCAGATGAAGGAATTTTACTTAGTGGGTGCCAAACAGATGAAACTTCTGCAGATGTGCAAATAATGGAGAATGGAGGAAAAGCTTGTGGGGCATTTAGTAATGCAGTACAAATGGTTTTGAAGGAGAATTCAGAGCCTTTGAGTAATAAACAGCTTGTGACCATGGCTAGGAAGATTTTAAAAATGCAGGGTTTTAAACAGCATCCTTGTCTATACTGCAGTGATTATAATGCTGATGCAATATTCTTGTGCCAAGCTGAGAATGGATCTACGTGAAATGTTGAACTGGACAAGATTGAACATGGAAACTGACAAGTTATATGATCTGTTTTTCTTCTTTAGTTCTATCGAATTTTATGTATTTCAATGCACCGAATATGTCCTATGTAAATTGATGTTCGTAATTTTTCTTATTTAAAAAAATAAATTATTTATATGAAAGTGTATTCTAATGGAACAACTGCTGTTTTCTTCTCCTCTGATGCGCGATTTGAGAGTTTCTGTACTATAATTTGTCTTATAAAATTTCTATCTGTTGACTTTGAAAGCAACTTGTTTTGATGAAAATCTCTTTTTCCTAATAAACCAGTTTTGAATGAACCAATGTATTATGTTAATATGGTAGGGTACTTTGTAGACAAAACTAGCAAAACTAAACTTGGGACACCCTCACAAGCTATGTATTAAAAATAAAAATTAGCCAAACTTCCATTCACGCGGTGCTAAAAAACCAATGCAGCTGCCTTCAAATTTACAGAAAATAAAATTGAATTTGTTGGTATTGACTTGAGCAATCACTGAAGTGATGTTGGTTTTTAAGTTACGAAGACTGTTCAGATGATAATATATAGCCTGTCTTCTAAAAGCATGTAAATTTTATCTAAAAGTAAATAATTACAGAAAATTATTCACTAAAAGAAGTCTCAATGATCATAAAAATCCAAGACACGCATAACCACATCAGTCTCAAAACTCCAAGTTGAAACTATAAAATTGCATATAGGAAACAGATTCACAGGGAAAGACAGCCAAGGGAGTTTAAAGATGGATGGGTAGGCAACAGGAAGATGAAATCCAAATATCATACAAGGGCTTAGCTGGTTCTGCACCGTTGATGCCTCGGCTCTGGCAGGGGTTCTCTGTGCAATATCAGCTCTACCTTCTGCAAGTTTTTACAATGATGAATGTAATGCAAATGGAGTATTTAAGAAATACACGAAAATGGACGAAGGCAAGTTGTGTTGTTCGTGTTTGTAAGCCTCTAGTGGTCGAATAGAAAATGACAACCCAACAAGGTAGAGCAGGCAATTCTTTAATCTCAACAATGTAGTTAAAATACTAAAATCTTAGTCAATAGTTATGTTGGGGAATATATCGATTATGTTTATATTATCTTCACAAAAGCATATAATTTATTTGCGTGAAATCGAAACGTAATTTCGACTTACCGAAATGGAGTTTGAGAAACGAACCAATGATTATCAAATCTGACCATTTCCATTCTTGAATTAAAATATGTGACTTTTCATATCGAACCTTGCATAAACCATATAAATAAAATTAATCATTTTCTGAATGAAGTATGAAGAAATGAAATCAGAAATAAGAAAAAAAATTAGATGCAAGTGATGCTATTGGCCGATGCGAGTATAACTCTTTCCTTAAGATGAATTTGTTCCGCATCGGTGCTAAAGATTTTTCGACAATCATCTCCAAAGATATAACGATCACATCAAGTCATAGGAGCACTCCAAATGGCTTCGACCAAAGAACTCGAACAGAATTCCCTCTCTACCATAACTATGATTTTGATGCAAAAGATAATCATTTCTACAAATATGGATTGGAATGAAATTTTTGAATAAATAGATCCAAACATATGAGGTCAATATATAGATGTTGAAAATATTTTTCTCAAAAAGCACAACCTATAGAAGAGATAACCATTGGAATTAGTCTCTATATTTAAAGAGACAGGTCTCTTGGAAAATGATTATGCTAAAAGTCATAATCTTTCATATAGAAAGACACATTTTCAGCCAAATAATTTCTAGAATATTCCATAATATTCTACGCATTTTTTCAATAATTCACGTATTTAAGTGATTTAAATTTTGGCTTAATTTTTCATTCACCAAATAATACAAAATTTTCAACAAAATTCCAACAATCCCTCACATGAGTGAAAATCAATGCAAAAATCTATGTAGACACTAGTAGAAAGAGCGAAAAAACACTGCATTAGGGATGGTAACTTCTGACCTTGAACCTCCCTTAGTGAAATACTATCGGACTTACTCGGCTAATTGGTGAACGTTCACATCTTGAACCATTCAACCTTTAGTGTAAGTCAAGATAACGATACTCACACAATGTCTTCCTCAAACCATTCATGGTTCTCATGACTTGGTTCATTTTGATCCTGAACCCTTCTTGGTTCTGCGAGTGTTTAGAGAATTTAAGCATTGAATAATTCTCATTGAAACGGTCTCACTTCCCACTCACATAGGTGACCTCCTATTAAGAGTATTCTGTCCTGTTCCACTTGATTTAATCAAGATATAGGAATCATTAAAAGATTATTTTAACCTTTTGCAACTCTGCAGAAAGCACTTTAATGTCATAGGAATGAGTTAGGAAATTATTTTCCTTGGTGTTTCATGGAATCCTCATAACTTAATTGTCTTTTTGAACCAAAATCTTAGGATCTCTAGTCAATAAGGTGGGGTTACCATTATAAGGACTCTAACGTAGTAGGCTTCAATCTCATTCCTTTCGATATGCAATATACTTTATCTCTCGATAAATCTCTTAAATGTACCACGAGTTTACACTACTGAGATTATCTGCTTAATGGTATTATGTCTATGACTTATACGTCTAGACCTACCATTACATTTGACTTAGTATCTTATCAAATATTGCTAGCCAATGATCGATTCATTTGATAGATACAAATTGTCGCAACCAAGAAATCCTCTCATGAAGCTATATGCCTCATTAACTTTATCTAAAACTTTATCAATTTCCAAATACGGTTGGAGGATTTTTATCAAACACTACACTAATCAATCACTTTTAATAGTGGATTTCATAATCATGGGTATTCAATATCTTCGTTGAAACATTACCATGTATTTGAACTTTATGAATATTTTTCATATATTTCAATTGTTCTTGCATGTCTAAATAAACGTCATAATCGACTTTACAACCCATTTAATCCACTTTTTGCTCAATATATATTATCATTATAATTAGTATAAATGTTTTCTATCTTTCCACCTTCATATATATCGTTCTTGATTATAAGATAGAAGCAAACGTAACCGTTAAATTAAGTTATCCTCACAATTCCTCAATTAGGAATACATATACAATTTAGTAATGTTGCATCCACAAATTTTGAACTTTTCATTTCAAGTTCACAAGCATTAAATTTAGCTCCCCACATTCTTGGGTTATACTTGAACTTAGAATTCAACAACTCTTTTATAGTTCTATTCATTTATCTCTTAGATAATATCTGTATCAAGTGTTTCGTGAAAATCTAAGTACTTTCAAAATAGTGATCGTTGACTCACTATTTATTTCAATTAAAGTTGTATATAACGTACTTCAATCCAATTATTTTAATTGGATCATCCAAATTAAATCAAGGTCATTATATAGACCAGCAATACTTTCCAAGCATAAACCAATTTTAATTGGTCTCATGATTAAAGTCTATTTCAATAGTGAAGAGGGCTAAGTATCTTGATTCACGAGAATTGCAACTTCTCTTATCACATTGTGACATTTCACATGATAGTTTCATTTCATGTCAAATAATAAAGTACATATTCAACTTATTCACCATATTCAAATTTAAATGAACGAATCAACCATAAGTTGAAAAGTTGTGTTATCAAGAGACACAATCTTACAAAAGGACACACCTCTTAAAATAATCTCTATGAAGAGACGTACCCATTGGAAAATAATTATCAAAAGTCATGATTTTTCATATGAAAGAATGCACCTTTTCATCTAAATTGATCTTAGAATATTTTATAATATTCTACATAATTTTTCACCAATTCCAAGTAATCAAATTATGACAAATTACATTTTGTCATATTCTTATGCAAATATAATTTTGCACAACTCATCTCATTTAATTTTATTGAAGTCAGAAATTTAACTAAATCATCACATTCAAACTTTTCCAGATTTAAAGGAAGTTCAGCACAATTGTCAACTTCAGGCACAGTTTGTGCTCTGGAAAGTATTTTCATGTCTTAATATTTTAGCAACAATTTCCACTAAAACAAATCACAATTTGTCATACTTGATACAAATATAATTGGCATAAAAGTCATCTCGCTTAATTCCATAGGATTAAATGAGGCTATCAATATTAATCAAAGTTAGTATAATTTTAACAAGATATGAAAATTTAACAACTAATTTACCATGTCATGTTTCATATTCCAATAAAAGAATAGTCATGAAAGTTCATATACTTTCACAATTAGTTGGCATCTATTCCAATAACATTGGAGTTGTACCAATGACCAACATATATAGATCCTATTTAAATAAATATACACGTCTTATTATTTGATAGGATAATCAAGTTGATGATAGATTACGAAATTGGATTTGAAAATGCATTTAGAAAATAAAGAGTCGTCATTTAATAAATTGCCTTAAAGACCACATGTACTTTTTCAAAATAAACAGACTTCATGGTCCTTGACTAATTTATGAAAAGACACGTATTGACAGTCATATATATTGATTAACAATTGCAACCATATGCAATATATAATACTTCACTTTTATCATATACTAAACAAATGGATGACATTGACACTTAAGACACAATTCATATAATAACATAATAGTTTCTTATGTATGCATTAGTTCTTAAAAGTTGCACAGAACCCCGTCGAGCATAAAATGTAAATCGGTGTCGAGTTTATGCAATCAGATTTTATCATCAAATCCATTTAATACTTTGTTCATGCAAACAAAATAATGAAAAATATAAATGTATGAAAATAAAATTCATCTTAATATTGTTGGGGAATATATCGATTATGTGTATATTATATTCACAAAAGCATACTGTTTATTTGCGTGAAATCAAAACGTAATTTCGACTGACCGAAATGGAGTTTGAGAAACTAACCAATGATTATTGAATTTGACCATTTTCATTCTTGAATTAAAACACGTGATTCTTCATATCGAACATTGCATAAACCATAATAATAAATTTAATCATTTTTTGAAATCAAGTATGAAAAAATGAAATTAGAAATAAGAAAAAAATTAGATACAAGTGATGCTATTGGTTGAGGCAAATATAACTCTTTCCTTAAAATGTATTTGTCCTGCATCGATGCTAATGGTTTTCCGATGATCATGTCCCAAGATACAACGACGACGTCAAACCATAAGAGTACTCCAAATGACTTCGACCAACGAACTCGAACGAAATTCTCTGTCTACCATAACCATGATTTTGATGTAAAAGATAATTACTTCTACAAAGTATTTTATGTATAGCAAAGTGGAAAATATGGAATGGAATGAAATGAAATTTTTGAATAAATAAATCCAAACATATGAGGTCAATATATAGATGTTGAAAAGATTTGTCTCAAAAGACACAACCTTTGGAAGAGACACAACCATTATAATTAGTCTCTATATTTAAAGAGACACGTCTCTTAAAAAATGATAATGTCAAAAGTCATAATCTTTCATATAGAAAGACATCTTTTCAGCCAAATAATTTGTAGAACATTCTATAATATTCTACGCATTTTTTCAATAATTCATGTATTTAAGTGATTTAACTTTTGACTTAATTTTTCATTCACCAAATAATACAAAATTTCCAGCAAAATTCCAACAAGTTATAAATATCTAGATAGAAATAGTATGCATATAGTGAGCACCTAGTTTTCCTTTTTACTGCTATAAAAAAATTAAATTCACTGATAGTTCTAACACATTACGTGCTTATCAGAATATCAAAGAATATCTAATCTTATCTATACCAATCTAATCTAAAATCAAAGGCAGTAAATTTAGTTCAATCTTGAATAACATGCAGCCTTGAAATAAAAGGGTGCCTCTTTGATATGGGAGACCATCAGGTGTCAAGCCGCGAATTTTTTGCTTTTCTTATATCTGTCTCTTGAGCATATTAAAAATATCACTCCATATTTTCACCATTCACCCCAATTCAAAATGCCAAAAGTCTTCATCATTTTGCTTCTAGCTGGTGTGCTTGATAGTGTTGGCAATGGGCCGAGTCGAGTCGGTTCGGTCCTTTAATCCACGAGCTCGGCTTGGGTGGCAAGTCGAGCTCGTGGCTCGCGAAAGACAAGCCAAGCTCGTGATTTCATGAGCCACGAGCTCGCGAGCCCAGTCCAGCCCAACCCACGAGCTCGTGGTTTTTTTAATTTTTTTTTGGTAAATTTGCACTTTTTTTAAAAAGCTCATGGGCTCGTAAAAAATGGCTCTTGTGCCCACGAGCCGCTCGTGGGTTCGGCTCAGGCTCAAGCTGTCATTTGACAAGCTCGAGTTGTCCATGAGCCGAGTTTTAACGAGTCGCGCAACTTATTTGATATCCCTAGAGCTTATGGAGTTGGCTGATGTTCGGTAAATTTCATCTTAATTTTGTAGAGATTAACTACAAATGTCTAGATGGATCAAATTTTGTTTGCTTTGCTCCAGGGGTTGATCAATAAGAAATACAACCTGATAAGTTTCTCATTATTAGAGGTAGGGGTGAATGCGATTCGATTTGAGCAGTTTGTGCTATATTTTCAACTCAAACAATTTTTTGCGGTTTGAAATTTTTTCAAACCAAACCAAACCATTTTATTTTTCGAACCAAACCATAATTTGCGATTTGGTTCAGTTTTAATCCGCGGTTTACCTTGCAACTTTATAGTAATGTATTTAACATAAGTTAAATATAAGTTTAAACGAGAACTAATAATATTAAATGTCAAATTACATTCATATTTATTATGAAACCTATGAATAAATTATTTTCAAAATTGGTTCCTAAAAGATATTAATAGAATAAATTCATCTTTATTCATTTTTATCTATCACCTTTTCTTGTTTGGCATTCATATTGTTATGCAGCGGTTGGTAAAGGTAGAATTACATTCTGTTATTATAGTTTAGTTAAAACTTTTTTTGTTTTGCTAGTGAGATGTTAAATAAGAATTGAATGAGATATATTTAGATTACATAGATTGATAGAGTTTCGACTTATTGGGAATTGACGAATTTCATCATTTAACTACCTTATGAAAGTAGAAGGTAATAGTACTAATTAAGGAACTTTAGCATTTTCACACAATTAATATGCTCCATCCTTCGTTCTTTTCAAATCACAAAAGAGTTCATTCATCTAGGCATTCAAACAATCATTTTTATCGAAACCACAACTCATAAGTGTATAATAAGTTCAAAAAAATAAATAAAAGAAAGAACAATCGAAAAATGGCTTGAAAAAAGAATATAAGACTTACCGAAAGGGAAGAGAGAAATAAACGATTCAGGTAGAGATTAGTAGATCAACAGGCAAAGGTAATTGTCGATTCGTTTAATAGTGGCAGACAATCGTCAAATGTTAGGAAAATGAGAGCTATGTTATAGTTTCCAAATAGAATTGTGATTTGAATTGTTGAAAAATATATGCTTTTTTTTTTTTTAATTTCATATGATTTTGGAATAATTTTAGTTTAGTTTAGATATCGGATGAGGACATGTATTGTGAACCTGTTAAATCATAGATCAATAATGATGAACATAATCTACTTTTTACAATTATTTCAATAGGTTGGTTGTAATTTGTATTGTTAAATTTGTATTTTTTCAAAGAAGTGAAACCTATTAAATTTTAAGTTAATAAAACGAACCAATATCTATCAAGGAGAAGAATAAGAAAATATCAAATTCCAGAATGTTTTGCTGGTTTCTCTCCCGCTAAATCCTGCAATAGATCCATGTACTGGGAGGTTGGACCACAGAAATTGCACTCTAAACCTCAGCATGTGCCCTGTTTGGATAATCGAACCTAACATAGAAGGAAAGGGGACGCTCTGGAAATAATCTTCTCATTATCGACTCTAGTGGAAGGCAGGAAAAATGCAAAAAACATCGCACGCAAATGGAAACTTGCTATAAGAACTGCAAGCTTTATTAAATATTTGGTAATTATTACACAACAAATTATTTTACACTTCATAAAGTTATAGGAATGTCTCTAATATTATCTTTTTATAACTTAATCCATTTTAAACACTTCTCAAATATGCAATACCTTTGAAAAGAATGATTATTCAATATGACCATTATAATTTTATAACATGACTCAACAAGTACTCGAAAATGCAAAATAATCAAGAAAGTAAACTAACATAATAATTTTGAATTTTTCTCCAAATGTGCATTGATTAACAAAAATCTAGAAGGAAAATCTTGTAAACTTTTGGTCAAAAGTGAATTTGCTTTCATCTCTTGCGTCTTAAATAGAGTGTGACATTATATTTATGAGGATTGAAGGATGTGATATTAGATAAATACATACTTTAGTAATTTTAAGGCTATCATATGGAGCACATAACTTGTTACATTTGAAGATACCATGCCACGATTCCTATTACAATTATCTGAGTAACGCGACATGCTTCATACTTTTACTGTGAACGATTCTTTTCTACCAATAACGAACTGTAGTCGTTGGAGAAATTTTATTTTAGCTATTATTAACACAACTTGGCCGCTTAATTTGTGTCAAACTCCCATGCAAGGTATTAATTGAAAATCAAGACCATAAATGTAAGAGTTCTGCTACACGTACAGAACAATTTTTTACAAATTCTTTACAGAATACACACAGTATGGAGTGAGTGGATTATTTTTTGGACTATTTTACTCACATGAAGCCCACTCCCCATGTGAGCATTTGAAAAATTTCTGTAGGAGGAAATTTTGTACACACAGAATTTTCCTAAATATAATTTCTCGAAAGCGTCATGAACCTCAATAATAATAATAATAATAAAAGTCATTATAGTTTAATTAAATATTGATTTAAAAAAAAAAATAGGGACCAGAAATCAAAATTGCAGGATATTTTCTCCAGGAAATGAAGCCTCCACCACAGGATCATGCAGAAAAGATAATTCTGCAGATTTCTTTGCCAACAAAAATAGGCACGGATTCAATGGCTATTCTCTTCAGTTTTCTTCCAAAATACCCGAATTATTTCCCATTAATTAGCAGCTTCTCAAAGACTTGTTCACCATTATTATTTCCCAATCCCAGAATTCATTTTTATTTCTCTTCAAATAAACTGTTAAATTTCACAGGCAAATCGTATCGGATCACTACTCGAGGCGGGTTTATCGATGAAGATGAAGATGAAGATGAAGACGATGAACGCTATAGCTTTCGAGAAGCTATTGCACTCTTTAACAGTAGGGAGTATTACAAATGCCATGACGTTCTTGAATCCCTCTGGAACAAATCCCAGGAGCCCATACGTACTCTTTCGCATGCTATTCTGCAATGTGCTGTGGGTTTCCATCACCTGTTCAATCAGGTATATTACTAAATTGTTTGAAATATATATATATACATACACACACACACACACACACACACACACATATAACATAAAAATATTCCCAAATATTTAACATTTATTTGCTGTGATTTTTGTTATTGTCCGACAGAATCATAAAGGAGCAATGATGGAATTAGGAGAGGGAGTGTGTAAATTAAGGAAAATGAACTTTGAAAATGGACCCTTCCATCAATTTGAGAAAGAAATTTCAGCAGTCTTGGAATTTATTTACCAGACTCAGTTAGAGCATGCAGCCTGTGAGTAATTTAATTCATCATGATTTTCATCCTTGTTATATTTATCTGAATATTATTTTATAGTATGTTTGGTACGTTATAATGAAATAAGCATGTGTAAGTTGAATCGAACTTCCATTTCTTATTTCAATCTTGCTACAGTGACAAATTCAATGACAGAGACATATGCGTCAATATATGATTCTACAGCTTGAAAAAAAAAAAAAAAAGTGCACTCACAACACCTAATCACTTTCTGCCTGTCTACCACACTACCCTGTCAACCCTATCCTTGTCATTAACCTTGTCAAAGGAGCATTATTCTTCTTATTTACAATGCCACTGTCTTACTTGTTTGGTTCAGCCTCATCACCAGTTCAATCCAAATTTGAACTTGGCTCAACCTTTGATCCTCATCTTTAAACCCTTTTCTGGATCGATGACAGATTATGTTTTTAAAACATTGGTTTTTACTCTAGTTTCATAGCAAATCTATTTCTTAATATTCCAATTCTACAGGCACAGAGGAACTTTGTCTTGCAATGGATCAATCTGAGAGATCATACCAACTTCTTGGGGGATTTGCAGCAGGACAGAACATCTATAGTCTGGACCAACATGAATACATTGTTTTCTGCCCTGAAAAGTATCATGGAAGAAGTGAACAACCTAGGATCAAAATCCCTGTTCTTACAGCTTCTGAAGAACACTTTATGGAGTTAGAATATAACTAGAAGTCAAACATTTGTTTATTTCCTTTTCCAAAGCGTCATTCCCACCACCTTACCAGCTATACAGAGCCATCATCCCATGTTGATTTTTCAAAGGTTTTTACTCTGCATTCAGAGACTTTCAGTCAATCTGCTTCATCCAATTTGATTCTAATAACATTGTTAAAAAATATTATTGTGTTCGGTTCTTTGCTGTTTGCCTTTTCCCTAAATTGAATATTAGACGAGGTTCTAAACATTAAAACATGCTACATCAATTAATTAAAGTCAAATGATATTTTTTATTAGATTAATTTCAAAAGTCAACTAAATATCATTGATTTTGATGTCGAATGTTCAAAAATCCCAAATGTTATGTCGTGGATGTAGAAGTAAGTTATACTTAATTATTTTAACAAGAAATATATGTAGCTGTTAGATGGACGATAAAATTTATATTCATTTAAATTTTCGCCCTTGCAACTTGTACCATGAAAAGAATGGTGTACTTGGCTCGAGCTTAATGAAAAGGAAACTCTGAAATAGATTATTCATTTATACTCTCTTTTCATATAAAATAAAAATGATCGGTGGATTCCAAACTTCCACGAAAAACCGACTGTAACAAATGTGAATATAATTCTACAATGTTTATTACATTCTTATGTGATAGTCATATTGGACATGATAAGTGTATTTTGTATACTTATCCAAGCTAGTAAATTGAAGTATTTGTTAGTGATTTGAATAAGTTATAACTTAATTATGTTTGTTAGATTGAACTTAGTGCAAATTGGTGGAATTGGAAGAAATGAACGAAAGGGGGGAAAATGAAAGAAATCCAAAGTTTGTGGACTAAAGTGTAAATATTCAATAGTTGATTCGGACCATAAAATGATTATTGAAGCAATAGATAGATTCGAGATCCAATACAATCATCCATAATTTGATAAGAATCAAGCTTTTATTACTTTGTTAGATTAATTTAGCAAAAATAAAATCAAAATCTCTCTTTTGTTTTATTTAATTCGTATTCCATACATAACTAGTAAATTTGAATTGAAATTATTCCCTGTGGGACGATACTCTTAATTCACTAAATCTACTACTTGTCAATAATCTCCTACGTTTGCGGGATTTTACCAAACAAGTTTTTCGAGCAGTTACCAGGAATAAAGTATTTAATTTGAGTTTAGTATTTTATATAAGATTCGATTTATTTATTTATTTTTGATAATTTTGGCTACCTTTCCTGATCTCTCTCGTGATTGGTATGCCTTCATATACTACTCAACAATATATGCAAGGTTCCGATGATGGCAAGTGAGTAAAATTTTTTGCAACAAGTAATCTTGACATGGATAATGAAGATATGCTTGTATAAGACATAATTTGAGAGCTTTGTATTGGAATGCATTATACTGGGCAACACTTGTATATTTGCACTAATCCTTTTATATCGAAACTTTTGCGGTTTAAACAATTTTAAGATGTCGAAAATAAGCAATCGACAAATCTCATGAATGCTAAATGCCTGAAGACGAATATGTATCTTCCCATCTAGACGATGACATCATTTTTAAGGGAATTGGTCCTTCTCTGTTGAACAAGGAGGCACTTTCAATATATTATAATGAAATATATTGGATGAAAGCAAAATACATATAAAAAAATTTTGTATTCTAGGATGAATTTAAAATGTGGGTATATAATCTACTTGAAAATGTTGAAAGGAAAGAATTACCATTGTCGATGAATTTAGATATGAACTGATCATTCAATTTGATGAAATATCTATTATTGAAGAAGAGCATAAAGAAAATGACAAACTCATTATAAAGGAACCTAAGTGAAGAAGTGTCAATTAATGATAATGAAATTAACACATTCTTTTGATGTCATCAATTGTTAAACAATGAAATTTGTGATTAAACTTGACGAAGAAGAAGTCTACATAGTTGATTTATAGATGGAATAGGCCAGTCATATCGCATTAAAGGAGGCAATGTCAAGATTTGAAGAATCAACGAAAAGTCAGTCAAAGTCAAAACCAAGCAAATCACCAAAAGTTTTCTTTAGAATTCCATAATACAGGATATCAAAGTCAAGTTAATGACTATAAATAAGGGTTTATTAGAAGACAACCCAATTTTCTTCTCTTTGATTTATTTTGCTTTTTATATATAGGATTAGTAATTTTTATTACTTGTAATAATATAAGGTATCTTCATCCCCATAATTTCTTTTAAGATGTGTTTGAGCTTATTATAAAGTGTTTCACGTTATCATTGATTTTCTAATTGTTTTGAAGTAACATTACACCTGAATACATTAGATAAGGGAAGATACATAGCAAGTTATCTAACACTTTCATGTCAGTTTATCCACCACCTACAGATTTATATCAGGGGAATATTTAGTTCCTTTCTTTGCCCTTAATTTTTTTTATATTACTTGTTATATTTTTAGACGTTGATGGCAATGTCTATTCTAAGTTTGGGAGGTTCAAAAATATCGAGATTTTAATTATTTTTATTGTTTTGTGTGCTTGTTCGAGTGCAAAAAAGATTAAAAATTCAAAAAAAATATTTTACTTTCAGCTTTTTTATTATTATTATTATTTATTTTATTTTATTATTATTTTATATTTTTGCTTTTGTATGCTTGTATGTTAGATAAATTTGTCTACTATAATGAATATATTTGGAACCATAAGTTAGGCTATAAATTGTGAAAAAGCTGCATGTTAGTGTGCTTGTTCGAGTGCAAAAAAGATTAAAAATTCAAAAAAAATATTTTACTTTCAGCTTTTTTATTATTATTATTATTTATTTTATTTTATTATTATTTTATATTTTTGCTTTTGTATGCTTGTATGTTAGATAAATTTGTCTACTATAATGAATATATTTGGAACCATAAGTTAGGCTCTAAATTGTGAAAAAGCTGCATGTTAAAATTGATTTATGTTTTGTGAAACTTGATGTTTTCGGGGCACAAGATTTATGTTTTGTATGATGAAGGAATAATTTGATTCAAAATTTGAATAGATTGAAAAAATAAAATAAAATAATGTAGTGGACCTTCGACACTAAATCAAACAACCATTAAATCATTAGGACTGTTTCCAACTGAAAAGAAAACAACTTTGATGGAATTCCCAGTTTTGACGAAGTAGATTCAGTCATTCATATACTAGAAATCTCAGTCATCCACGTACAATCTCTGGCCGTGGAGAAGTTGAAGTACCGGAAGAATATTGGTGATGTCAAGGTCATGGCATAGGATTTTCACACAATGTACAGCTTTTGAATGATTTGACAAGAAGCACTCGCAAGAGCAGAACTCAAAACTACAATAAACTTGTGGTTGAAACCGCCTAAAGTGAGCAATGAATGAACAAATCGATCGAATATTTCTAGGGCCATGATAAAATGCCTGAAATCGAGCTTTTCTTCTCTACATTTTTAGTTTCAATACACGTCTCTGGCTCGCATTATATCATCTGTGTCAAAATTTGCATTGAGCATAAGGTTCATCTACCATCTTTCAGACATGGCCAATATCTCCAAAATCTCGAGGCTAATGAGCTGTCACCAAAAATTTCGAGGCAGAGAACCTAAGAAAAGCACTTTTTCTGTAGAGATATTGGTTTGAGGAAATCGACTGGCTTTATGAAGCTTCATTTTTATAGCAGGAACCTTCCGGGTAACAGCCTGCCATATCATCTGAACAGCATCATCCCTCTTTGACGGATACTGATACTCGAAATAATTTTCAACTTCTTTTAGTCTTCTCCACATTCTGGTCCATTCCTTTTTGCCAATGTTCCTCATAAAGTTTATGAGAAATTTTTCTTTAAGGGCATCGGACGCACGGACAAATATGCAAAATTCAGAATAGTCGAGAACATCTTCGAAAGGAAGCTCGATTTCATCACTAATGATAACAGGCACACAGTGGCTAGATATAGCATCAAACATACGGTTTGATGAGGGAGTATCGCCTGCTATGTTAAGGCAGAATTTGGACGACCGCATACCCTGGGTAGCTTGCCTGATACCATCTTTTTGGATGCTTCCGAATGAGAAGTGTACGTCTTTTTCATCTTTTAGCATATAGAATAACTCTTGCCGAATCATTCCACCCTGAAAATGAAAAACAGAATGAGGATTAGACTGGGAAGCATCAAACGCAACCTAAAGAACACTGAGTCGTAGGGCAAGCGGGGAGAGACGCGATTAAAGTTGGCCATGTGAAGCCAAATCAAACCCTGTGTCTTATTACAGGAGTATATTGGGTATTCATACATGTATCAGGTGGTCGTAATATTCCTACTATATAAATGATTATTAAGACGTCATTTTTGAGTGCACGAAAGGTGTGACAAAAAAAAATTCTATTCTTATTCCCCATTTAAATTCTGGAGCAGCAAGTGGACATAGCTCTCATGTTGTTGTGAATCACTATAAATCCATATACTTTGCTCATTTTCTCATTGTCTTGTAATTTATTATTGCTCCTGTAAGTAGGGATAAGGGCTTAATCCATAACAGGAAATGCGAGAGCTTCATCATGTAGCTTCATGAAAACAAGGGATTCTACCATGAAAAATTGTCATCATCCATCCAACTAAGGTATCCAGTAAGTAGGAATGTAATTCACATGTTAGATATTTCACAATAGTGCACATTTTGGAAGAAATGTTGATCCATTTGGAATAGAATGTCAAGAAAAACTGACAGTTTTGAGTAAATGGAAAATTAGAGTGTTTTAATATCATAAAAACATTAAATGAAAGTAACAAAGAAAAGAAATTGCGCCTTTCCCCATAAGGACTCCCGAACCACAAAGTCGCATCTGATTGTGTATGTTTACCAATGAGAATTGAGTATCTTGTCATCTGCACTGACTCATCTATGCTCCTATTTTCTTCTTAACCCCCCAAACCACCACCCAATCCCAGTTTTATTTTCACATCCTTTCTCCACATCCATCTCCAACCCATATGTGAGCCAAAGTAGGAAGGAAGTGAATAGAACCCAAGATAAAGCCTCTTTGAAATTCTACATGATCAATTATGAAAGATGGCTCATGGATCAGAATGGCATACAATAAAAAAAAATGAAGAACAACATACATATATTCTGCTATACTTAATTGGAGATAACTACCACCTACAACCCATTCTAGAAATAAGCAATCAGGACTGTTCAAAATTTCCATGGTATAAGTCCCCAGTCGTCAATCTCCAAAGCACTTATGTCCCCCAAAACATATTTGTCCAAAAGTCAAGTGAGTTGAAATGTCACGCCAATGCCAAGAAAACTGAACAGAACAGGGAGCTTAGGTGCAATCTTCCCTAATTACTGAATCTAATCAATCTCAGTTTAGGTCACCATGCAAGAATTTAGTTTTAACGTGACACAAATTTAAGATATAAGCACGTAAGAACAATCAAATGTGCATCAGAAAATGAAAACCAAACCAATTAACAAAGTGAAGAAAACTAAAACAAAGAACTTACATATCTAAGAGATAAAGATGACTTACATCTTTTCTATATATGGCTCCCTGGAAATAGAGCAAAGTCGGACGACTATCAAAATCAGACAAGTCATCTACATAACTTTCAACAACATGCCTGTAGGGCGCGATCACGTCTTTCGCAACATTAGCTATGGTCAGAGGATACCTTCCAAAATCTGCAAGAATAAACATTGCAGGCCAGAGCTTTGTCCTTGCATCTAAAAGGCTATTAGGATGGTGCGCTAGAATTATATGATCTCTTCCTCTGGACCTCTTCCATTCATCCTGAGCTGTCAAAAATTTAACTAACTTCTCCTGTAACAAAACATCAGTACTCTTTTTCTGATTGGGCTTAAGCTTTGAGTACCGGTTAAAGCTTATAGATGAAAAGAAGGGAACAAAAACAACATCAGCTTCACTTGAATTCCTAACTCGTATTGCACTTTTTCCACTCAAATTTTCAGTAAATTCTGAGCTCAAAAGATCCAATGTAAGCCAATATTCTATACTATGCTGCAAATTTAATCCACCAGCATATTCAGGGACCGCAGAATGAATATCTGGCCAAATACTCTTACCCGTCCAACCTAATAGCTCAAAATGAAATTCTGGGGGCAAGTCATACATATAAACCTTGAGAACTTGCTTGTTAGAATCACAGTTAATCGAATTCTGATTTTGTGATTCTTCTTCTTCTTTGAGTGTTGAAACATTAGTTTCTGGCGTTTCATCAGAAATCTCAGTGTCAGCCTTTACAAGTAGCCTGGGATTTGGTAATATACTATCAAAGAGTGGCCGGCCAGTCGAGCTTAATACGAAAAACCAAGACAAAATGAAAAATACAGATGTAAAAAAGAAAAAACAAAACAGTGATTTATGGATGATGAGTCCCATTTTTGACACTCAAACAGCAAAAATCACTGAGGTGAGACAACTTTATTAAAAAATAAGTGATTAGAACCAAAAGTTCTTATATTTGTGGCTACCCCTTTTGATTATCAGGTAAAATATGAGGTTTAGATATAAGGAAAGAAAAGGAAGGAAAGCAGCAGTCATTGAGAAAATAACAAAATATGAACAGAAGTATTTGAACAAATCTCATTAAAATCATGTAATTTTATCTCAATTGCTACATTTTTCAGCTAAAATACTTTTGCTGCATATAAAAACAGAATCAATCTGAGCAACTCAACAAAATATGAAAAATAAAAAAGGGTTTCTGATTGATAAAATAAACAGCTAATATGATTACAAATGAAAAGAAAGAAAACCCAGATGGATTTTAATATAAGATTACCAACCCAATGTTATAATCAAGAAAAAAACAAGAAAACATTGTGAAAATATATACAGAATAACAGAGAGAAAGGAAATGAAAGGGAAAGGAGCAATTACACCAAAATACAGAGAAAGGGATTGTTCTGAATGTCAGATGGATTACTTTTTCCTCAGAAATTTTCTTTTTCCCTTGAAGAAAAATGATTTCTTCATTTTCTTCTTTAAGCAGAGTGAGAATAGGGAATATCTGAAGAAGCGGGCTACTCCGCCACTGTTGTGATAATTAAGGGGGAACTTTTGCTGAGTCAAGCAGTTCACCTTAGAGCGTGTTAGGATAAGCTTAAAACATTTACTTATGATAAAATAAGCGAGTAATAAGATAACTATTTGTTGTTGTTAATGAAAATACAATCGAAGCGGTAAAATCTAACTATTTCGAAAATTATAATAAATTAAGAATTAACCTTTTTTTCCACTTAGAAGCATAAAAGTTAAATTAAGTAAAAATTGTTTGGAATGCTTAGCCAAACATGGTCTAAGACGTGTATGCCAGTGCTATGATTTTGTTTCTTTCTAGTAGTTGGACACTTGGGACGTTCTTTGTCGTTTGAAAATTGTACCCATGACTGTATATTAAAAAAAAAAAAAAAGTTTAAATTAAAGTTTCGTGTTCTTTCAGTTAAGTTGTGCATAGCAATTCCTGAGTCAAGTCCAAGCATTTCTTTGTAACTCCAGATAGAGATCTTTTTTTTTTATTTTGCATCAATGGAAGATGAGTTGAACATGTTCATCTAAACAGATTCAAACAAATGAGCACACAACGTGAGAAATAGTTACAAAAAAGATATTAGGTATCTCATTTAAGAGCTCACTTCCCATGAATGCTTGGCACTTTGGTGTTATCTCTTTGCCACTCGAGACGAGAGCTTAAAAACCCGGCACTTTCACTTAAAATAAATATTTGTAAAAAATCAACAAATAACAAATTCGAACTCGCCTACCATTGTAATATATTTGTGGTAAATGAGATCTCATAAGCGGGTAAGCTCAGGGGAAATCTATTATTAAATAGTAAGAAGTTAAAACCTTTTTTCAAGAAAATTCCATTGCAATTTGCCTCACATTACATCATGCATATCAAAATACTACATATTTTTCCCTGAGAATGGAAGAAAATATTGTCTAAAAGGGTCGAGAACTCATGCGACACTAAAATTGGAATTGCATCTCGGGGGCATATCCAAGAGCTTCAAGATGAGCAGCCATGGCCTTGTTCATTGGAGGGGGGCCACATCTCAGTATCTGCAATACAAGAATAAACTTAGTGCTTCAGTTTCTTTTCAGATTTCAGCAAACTTCGTCTCTTTTCTTTCAAGTGAAAATCTGAACCTTAAAAGTGCAAGAAAAGATTGTTTGATTCGAACCTGAATATCAGCTGCTGGTGCAGGGCAGTGAGTTTGAATCATTTCCTTGGATACAAACCCAACTCCTTCATTCCATACTTCAGGAGGCTACAGAAAAATAAAAACTAGCAATAAATTCATACTTATGATGCAAACGTAATACGTACTGATACAAGTATATCTGTGTTCATCATCGCATCAAAATAACAGCCAAATGTTGCCTTTCATGTTGCCTCTTTTCTAGTGCAATAAAAGGCTTGATCAAGAACTCAAAAATTATTCAGGAATTATATATACACACACACACATACATAGAAGGCATTTCACGTGATTCATTGCATAAATTCGACAAATATAGTCATGAATATATGTTGTACTTTCCTGTCACTAAAATAATAAGTTAAAGATATATGAACCGTAAAACAACTTAGTTGTGTCTTTGAATAAAGAGTAAAAAATAGGAGTTTGCAAGGTAGAGGAGAACACATTGAAGCCACATAATATTTATATCAAAATTTCCAATTCTGAAGATGAAAAAATGGGTAAAATAATTGAAGCTAGCTAAATCAATTGATTTAGGTGAAGCTAATATAATGGCTACGAAATGCAAATGAAGTCCAAATAAAAGAAGGAAAAAAAATACAAAAAATTTTAAAAACGAATAAAGAGAACTGACCTGATTCAGTACATAGTAAATTTTGAAACAATCAGAGTAGTTAGTAGCAAGACTATCCAATTGTTCCTGCAATGAGACATAAACGAAACTACTCGGTAGCGGATACGAGCTAAAAATCTTTTAAGCTTTATAGGCCTTTTTACCACAATTTTAAGATTTAGAGGCAAATAGATCTATAGTACCAATGCTAATTAAATTAATTGTCTCCTTTTTTCTTATTGTTCCCATACAAATTTAGTTGCCAACAATACTATAGTTCACAATAATAATATTAGCTATCAGCTCTCCCAAAAAATTGGGCTTTTATGGATCAATCCAGTGTTAATTGGTTCTCTCTATAAACTGACAACTTGGCACACAAGTAGTATTCAAAAGGAATATACTGGAAAGAGAGTCCATGAATTACCTTTAAAAGAATGTCCTCGTAGGTCACATTAGCATAAATCAGATGCACCTTTGTTTTGTCATTTGGGTTTTCAAGAATAGCTCTGGTAACCTAAACGGATGTAAAAAAATAAAAAATAAAAACAATGAGATATGTATGTGGACCAAAATCCTCGATAAATAAGCAATTCATCATTATTTTTTTCTGGGTAATAGTAAAAAATCCATCAGCTTCGGCATATATCTCATGCAGGATACTAAAGATTCAGGAATATAACCTGGAACATTGGAGTAATGCCAGACCCTCCAGCAAGCATCCCAAAAGCCCTCACTTGGCCTGGTTGGTACTTAAAACGACCCTAGTACAGGAAGTTCCCAATTAAGTAAATAATTACTTCAACTGCACATCATCCAATATACCCAAACTAATGCAAATGAGAAAAGACCAAGCTACTTTAGCATGGAGAATCATTTTAGGCCTTCAAAAGTTAAGATTTACCAAAATAATTGATGAACCACCAAATTATATGTGGGGTTTTGTTGAATTTCTTTATAGATAATGTAGCATTCCAAGATCATGAGAAAAAATTGACTTTGGAAGAAATAATATAAAGCTTATTATAGCTTCGAAATTAGTGAATCAGGCCATCTTACTAATCAACAATATCCTTATATCCTATTTATATGTTAAAGCTGCTAAGTATATTGATCTATCAGATGTTCCAAAACTTTATTTGACTAAAAATACAGTAAAATTTTCACATAATTCACTTCTAAAACACGTTAAAACTCTGTTCTGTGAATGGTTATTATCTTCCAGAAAATATGAATATGTCTATTTGAATCCCTGCTTGCCGTATAATCAATTAATCATATAAATATAACTAGGAAAACATTGGAGATGAATTTGGGTTTCCTTATCGACCATTTCTTCAAAATATTGAAGAATTGTTATGCTTAGAGATTAAATTTAGCACATGTTTGGGTTTTTTTATAAATCGCTGAAATCATAATGTGATAGGAATGAGTAGTGTATAAGTGGGTAGTAGTTATGGATCCTATGGAATGTGTTGCCAATGTTAAGTTTGACTTTGGCTTTTAAATTATAAGGAACATATAATGAAATACATACAAACACTTAGTACCAATGCTGTGAGGTGGATAAATATCATTACCTCATAATGAAATTGTCGTGTTCCAAGCATTCGTGAGAAAGTGCCACATTAAATGTTTCAATTTAATGCAAAGTATTCAGAGATATTTTTTTATTGTACTCTGCAGTGACGGATATAGGGGGGCTGGGCTGGGTTGTAGCCCCCCCCTCAGGTCCAAGAGTTTTTTTTAAGGTATTTTTTATTTTTTTGGATAAAAAATCAGTTTTTTATGCGTAAAAATTTTTTTTTCCACGTAGTAGCCTGGTCGTGGATCTCATCCTGAATCCGTCCCTGGTACTCTGGGAATAAAATGATCTAAAGCATATTTAGGAAGTGTTTATAAATGATTTAAATTATAAGTAGATAGAAATGAGTGATGGATAAATAAGTAGCACTTGTGGATATCTCAAAATGTATGGATAAAAAGTAACTTGAGCAGTCATAAATAATTTATAATTATGAGCCAAACATTGGCTTACTGTACTCTTCTCTTAAGAATAAAATGACGTAGCACATCAAATTTACCATATCAATAAATTTTAGCCTTTTTAGAACATGGAAAACGCCATGTCTGAGGATAGTATGCGTCAACCCTAGGTGTCATCTTACAATCAATTCTTAAACAAATATTTTAATCTATCAATAACTCTATGGGAGAAAAGGATTTACAACACACCAGAGGCAAGATTTAGCTATTTTTAATGCATAACTAGACAGGGCCGGTCCTGGGCACAGGCAAATGAGGCCTGTGCCTCAGGCCCAAAACCAAAAAGAGCTT